CTCTCTATTGATTGTTTTCTGCTATGATTGGGTATGTGTGTTTCTTTTGGAAAAAGCGTCTTGTTTAGGTTTTAACTTAGTGCTAAATTCCCATCGAAAACATTTTTTTTTCTTTTTTTTTTTCTTTTTTTTTTCGTTAACAAAACACTTGCTTGTATTACAATTACTTAATTAGATTGTAATGGCGTAGGAAAGGTTAGGAAATATTTGATATCTTACCTGTGGAAAATACATTTCATCACTTCATATAATTTATATGTACACTCTCCTCGGGAGTGATCTATTAAATTGATTTGCACTCCTACCGTAATTCACTCGTTACATTCCGCCCATTTCCGGAAGTCTTCGTGTCTGCACCTACACACAACGATTTTACCTGTAGTCACTGTGACGTAGACACTTGGCTACGTTGCTAGGCTGAACAGTCGTACAATTATCCACTATGGTTGTGACTCACTCGCTAATGGAAAATTTTAAAGCATTTAAAATTTATGATGTAATACCGTATTACAATTGCTTATCCTTGACGATCCAATTTACAAATTGAACTTACCCTTTTTCACCACATGTCAGTTTTCAAATCAGTAATCCTATTCATGTGCAGACACTACACTAACACACACCTCCTCAGAATACACACTTCAAACAAATTAAAAATACCATGAGATCCTTTTCATTTCACATTTATTGTCCACTTTTGAATCTATTACTCTATTTGCTCACAATTGAAAATAAATTTTTAATCACGATTCTTATACCCTTTAAATGATACTGTACCAACAGTAGCCACTTTTTCATCTAAATTCATTTAAACATTATAATGAAACACCTACGTTCTTTTTCTGGTACAAATACTCTGAATCATCGTAATTCCGTCCCTTATCGAGAGCCGCCTGTGTTGCTTGAAATGCGATTCTAATTGTTCGAAAATTTCAAAAGAGTTTTCATGCATTAAGAAGTATCGATAGTCTCTTTAATAATAAATTCTATATTCAATATTCGATAAATACAAGGATTAATTAAATTTTATTTAATTATACGCATGTATCTACTTGTTATCAGGATAGATTAAACATTATTCTTTATATGCATGTATTTAGGCAATTGTCGTTGCTGTAGGTAAAATATACGAGTGCTGTGATTTCCATTATTACTATACCAGTTTTTACAGCACACGTACATGAAAAGAAATTTAGCTCAACACTGAGTGAAATGGAAATCTTTTAATACTGATTCATTGAAAGATTACGATAAAGGATGAAATAAAGTTGAAGTTATTAATTTTTTTGTCTGTTTTTCAAGCGACGGTTCTCCCGTATTTCACTCAGTGTGGTAGTAACCAACAACTACAAGGTGATACCGCCTCAAAGGGCCCTAGTTGTTCCTATGGAGATAAACCCAACCAAGAAAAATATTAATTGCAAAACGATTCAACTCAACTGAAATTATATTGAACAATATATATATATTCTCATGATAATCCTGTCATTCGTCGTTTAAATGTTCTAGTATTGAAACCAAAGCCATTTGGACGATCTTTATTGCCTGTAGGCTGTTGCTAGCTAGAATAATGACAATCAATATACTTGGTACTCAAGGAAGGAAACATACGACATATACTTACATTCCTTAACCTTTCTACATAAACAAAAACAAATCAACAAAACTGTTTCTCAATAATAATTTTTATTCAATAAATTCACCATAACAATGACATAAACGGTATTTAAAATTACTTGAGCATTTCTCTGCATAAGCACATATGTATACAAATAATATATAAAAATGAATCCTTCATACAATTTGATATAGCTATCCATTTACCGATATACACACACCAGCTCTTTCAAACGTAAATACATTGTTATCGATTTACTCAGAATAGTTCATACATAAATATAAATATTAAGGCTTACATTCTTTTTTAAATATTATCTGCACTCTTTACTTAATAAAGGGAGACAATTGAATCAACAAAACATCTTTCGATAATGGCAGCACAGAATTGTTTATAATTATATAGATATCGATATAAGGGGATAAAAGTTCAACTAGACTATTATAAAACTTTTACCTACTCCATAAACCAGACACATGTATATAAAACACATAGTCAAACCTGTCTCTAAAGGCCAGTCAAAATGAAACTGGAAACTAGTGGCCGTTATAGGCAGTTAATTCTTATATAAAAGTGTGGCTTTTACAGACATGTTTCGATATACATATATAACATATTAAAGCAACGGGTTTCTTAAACATATAAACAATAACTGTTTTATTAAGCGTTTAGCACAACCAAGGTGATAAATACATCAGGGAATGTGTATATAAAAAACGAAATACTTTCTAGAACGGAGATTTTTAAGGTGCAGCACACACTTCCTCCCGAGCTCGGGAGACAAAGCTCACACCAGGACGCAAATGCTTTGAATGACTGTGGACTCGAGGGATGCTAGTTATTGTAATCCTGAGGATAATTACATATACTTATGTATGTGACACTATACAGCACCTGGTATTTCATACCTTGTTTTAAAATTCAGACGTAAATTGGACACACTGTTATTACTATACAAACTTAGGTAGGGCGATGCCAGTCATTGGAATTCTACATATTTCCTGCTAAGTTTGTATAAATATTTCATTCATAAGCCCAGAAAATCAATGTTTAAGCACCCACTTACCTCTCAGAATCATCGCACTGTGCTAACGTCCAATTATACACAACAAAATAAACTTCAAATTACAAGTACTCGTATACCAGTCTTACGAAAATATTCACAGAATACCATAATGTATATTACAAGTGTATATGTTGTATATCATATTGATAAGCCGCCCTACTATTAACTTCTTATACATGGTTGTATAAGTTTATATATTACAGTACAGTTTGCATGTATCAAGGGACATATAAAAGAATATTACTTACTGAACTTGCATGAAAAAATCAATAATATATTTCCTTTCAGAGTTCATCGCGTGTTGGAATATAATCTTTAATGTTGTATTTTCACTTACATACATTTGTATATATTACACCAAAACAAACAATAACTGTATCCTCGAATATTATTGTTTCATGTTTTGTGAATGTGGTTTGTGAAACATAGGACCACAATAAGCTTTGAATACACATTCTCAATGGCAACGATTTTGGTACGCTGAAACATTATCAAAGATGACACAAATAATGAAATGGCAGTGTAAAACATATTATGATTAGATAAATTCTATAACATCTTCATGTCAACACGTTTTGTAGAAATATAAAATAAAATGATGATGTAACACTACATAAGATGGATAGATATGATGGATGGCATTTAGGAAGTCTGAAAATTTCACAATATCTATGAAACCTTCTCACTATTAAAACAAATTGGGAACAATAATTTTTATTGAATAAATATAGGGTGATCCACCCATAACAGTTTCACAATCCAAGTGCAGACTTATATCTGCATAAAACAATTGTCATGTTAAAGCTCTATCAACACCGCATCAAGCCGAGTATGCACTACTCGATATAGAAAGGCACAATAACCAAACCTGGCATTATTTAAATTATTTGATTTGAACAAGAAATTAAACACACTTATGGAAATTATGACAATTTGTAACGATGACTGCATGATGTTAAGAGTTCCATTCAAACAGTTGTTAAACATCTGTATAATAAACAAGTTTAATAGATCGCAAACTCTTTCACACCATTAATGTATTTTCAACGATATTTTTCAATAACAACATAATCATAATCCAAACTTAACTCAATATAACCAGGGCAAAATATGAACACAAGAAAAATCTACATGGAGGCTTAGGAAAAAGTACCATGAGAATAAGACCAGGTTTTCTAGAAGAGTAAGCGTTTTCTGCTTCATCGATGACACCCGCCATGTAAATGTTGGTCAATCCAAATAAGAAATGTCACATCCAAAAGGGAACGTGGTAACAGATTTTTAGAAATGAAGCATTGTTAGCAATTGTTTTTCACCTTTTGGATTAAATTATCGTGTGCAAACCACAAAATGCCACACTGAGACAATCTATAAAATCGTTACCAGAATGTTAATTGAGGGATTAAGAATGTTGATAAAATATGAAAATATTGCTGATACACGGAGAGAAGATCAATAAAATGTTACAATATAACAAAAACGGATTTGAAATGTCGTTGAAACATGAATAAAATATCAGTGGAATTATTGCTAAAATATAAGATTCACAAATATTGTCATACTTCGCGTATAAGTTTGCATGAAACATTCAAAATGTTAAAACAAAAATATTCACATATCATAATTCGATAAAAATAAAACTCTTGCTAAATCTTCATGCAAAAATGATATTTGATTAAATGAAAGTTGGCTTTTTATATAGTAAGCAGTCTGGGTTTCCAATGAATATCACTCCGTAGATTTATAAAATCATCACTTGTAACATTGATATGACAGAAATGGACGGACATTAACCGGGTTTGACGTCATTAAAAAAATGAAAATAATATGAAAGAAAACATAATATATACAAAATGCATTATAAAAAAGGTGTTTGTGGTAATGCCTTTTTTCATTTTACAAAGATATTTTCATAATATCAAACATTGATACTGATTTTAATATAAGATTATCACATAATTGCCGTTAATAATCCCTGTGAGAATTCAAAAATATTATTTATTATAACAAATTTGTAATTTTAATTCAGGAGATTCGAAAATAACAAGATGAGCAGGTTCAATCAGTTTTATCCACAACTGTTTAGGCGATATAGGCATTTGCTATTGAATGATCAAGTTTTACATATCTCCAAATACAAATAATACACCGAACCATTTACAAATTGGGTTATGCTTGAAGGCATTTGTACAGAAATCAATCACTCAACCTTAATGTCACCGATCAATAAGTCATATCATTATTATGTGGCATTTCATTAAGATCTTGATTAATCTGATTGAATAATTAACAATACGGTATATTGGATATGTCAGGTCATCCTACTGGACAGTTAGCCTCATCACTATTGTCCAGACAGTCTTTGATAGTATCACAACGTTCTTCTAAACGAATACACTGACCACTTCCGCACGTGAATTTCCCAGGACCACAGCTTCCTGTATATACACAAAATTCATTTATTAGGTGTTATATCATCTTTTAAATTCAATGTAAGCCATTACTTGTCCAGCAAGCCGTACGTTTTTATGGGAAACGTCTTAATAACACTTCATTTATTGAAATAAATAAAACAACTTTGATGTTTAATTTGTTATTCATTATCTTGTTTGTGTATTAGAGTTGTTCATTTGAAACAGGTCAAGTTTAACCTTATACGCTAAAATTTTACGGGTTGGTTACCATTAAGGCGATTATAAACAAAATGGTATACAGAAATGCTCAACTTTAAATGGCAATATTTTCTTTATTCGCCCGATAGGCTTCAAAATTTAGGCCCATAGCATCTTTGACGAGTTAGTTCTAGAAGGACGAAACAGCCGTTTCGCTCAACTTTTTGATCAACCAGAAGTCAGATTCACCGTTTAAAACATTGCTTCAGACCAAACTTCACAATATCCTTGTGCGGAGAAAGGATTTTAAGAACTTATATTTCCCATATTGGGCCTGACATTTCTAATGTCTCTGGTGTCAGACTCCTTGTTGATACAAAACTAGATTCCTTACAGCTAGGTAAGTTTCGGACAAAATCGGAACAGAATCAATACATCTCTACCAGAGAATTTCCTAGAGAGCCTATTACTTATATAATTTTGATTCCCCTACTTCAGACCAAATTAGGACAGAATCCTCATATTTCTGTAAGAGGAGGATTTAAAAGAATTTGATATATATACCCTATTGGGCCCTGCCCTTCCACCCCAGGGCACCGAGAAACATCATTTATACAAATGGATTCAACTTCACCCATGCATATTTAAGACCAACTTGAGACAATATACATACATTTCTAAAGACGAAGCATTAAAAAAAAAATGTATTTCCCTAATTGGGCAACGCCTCTCTTACCCCAGGGACAGAGACCCACTATTTATACATAATTGAGTTCCCTTCATCCAAAAATGCTTCCGACCGAAATTAGGCAAATCAAATCATTTCTACAGGATGAGTAGGATTTTAAAGTATTTGCTCTATTTGCTCTATTTGGCCCCGTCTCTCCTCCCAAAGAGGATTGACCCCCACCGTTTATATCAAATTGATTTGCCTTCACCCAAGAATTCTTCAACCTAATTTGGTATATATGCAATTGTTCCGACAGAAGGAGTAGATTTTAATGATTTTTCTATATTTCCCAAGTTGACACATCCTCTCTAACCCTATGGGACCAAGATCCATCGTTTATACAAAACTGATTCCCCTACACCAAAGAATACTTCAGACTAAATTTGAGCAAAATCCAATTATTCCAACAGGAGGAATAGGATTTAAAAGAATATTTCCCATACTGAACCCCACCTTTTCAGCCCAAGGGGGCCGAGATCTACCGAGTGTTGTCCCTTCACCCAAGAATGCTTCTGACCATATGTGGGCAAATCCATTCATTCCTAGAGGGGAGTAGTATTTTAAAGAAATTGCAAAATAATTTCCTCTATGAGCCCCGGCCCTCAGGCTTCTGAGAACAAATATTTAAACTTACTACGTTCTCCTTCCCCAAGGACGCTTCTGATTGAATCAGATCAAAATCTGTTCTGTCGTTCATAACTAGTAGCAATTTTTAGTAAAAACATTGACGGACGCCGCCGAGCAATGGCATAAGCTCACCGGCCTTTGGACCCGGCGAGTTCAACAAAATTGATGCAGTCAGAGACCCCCTGATCATGAAAGCTTTACAAGATTCAGATGTAAATTTCGTGACAATAAATGTTCCCGTAACTTTCGCAAAAATGAGATTAGAATCCTAATTTCATCTTTAAATGTAGTGGTATAAAAGCTTAATTTTTTTCATTTGGTTTAACCTTACCTGCTGTGGTAGTGGTGGTGGTAACTGGAACAGATGTTGTTGAAGAAAAGTTTGTATCTGTTGGGGAGAAATATAACATCAAACTTGAAAAATCCAAATTCATTTTACACTAACTTGCGTGAACGTAAAATCACTAAAATGTAACCAGCATATTTCAAGTTTGTTTATTTTCTGGATTGATTGCCTCATTGGACATGGTATAATTCATAATAATCAAATAACCATGCCTATATATAATAGAGACGATTCTATACGTAGTGACATTATTAAAGTAATATCGATGAACATAATATTATTACCTGAACATGTTTTATTCTGTAGCATAATACCATCAATCGCTATATCTGCGTCATATTTATCGATGGCAATCGTCCTGAAGGCACGAAATATGACCTTGACCTCAACACCGGCAGCAAGGTCAACACATCCATTGGTCCAAAGGTTTCCTGTTGAAGTGTTTTTAAACCAAAGCCGTGTCTCTTCACCATTGGTCACTGTGTATGACAGGACCTCGAGGCCACCGATATCTACCCAGAATGCATTGTCAAACATGTGATAGAAGAAAGATACACTCTGACCGGAAGTCGGGATGAATGGTATCGAGACTAAGCTACAGTTATCACCATGGTTACCGTCACTTCCCTCAGCGTACATGTAGCTTCCTACAAAACAACACACCACGACATCATTAAATACTTGCAACGGAATAACAAACTGGATAAAGGGTATTGAAAATTATGTTTTACCAAGTGCAGTAGAAGTAATAAACGCAACCGATATCTAGACCAAAACTCACAGACAGAGTAAAGACAACGGTTAGTGATATAAATGCAAGTCCAGTCGTTGATATATCACAGCACATGATCGTCCTGTTCCACTGTTCGGAATCAGTAAGATGGGCATAGTTTATCGACTATTCACAGTCACAAAGAAAAAAAACCCATCAGTGGAAATGAAGCCAGTGCAATACATCGACATAATAATCCAACACAATTGGTAGATATCTGAGGAAGACCGGTGTGATAGCACTCACACTTTAATATCCTCAGTATGATATAACTTCAAACACGTAATATGGAAAACTTCCCTTTCGAGTATTAAGATTTAGTATTAATCTAATTATTATAATAATCTAAGTATTATCTAATAAGTATTAGATGTGCAGATTGCGAAAGTAATATTCTCTACTCCTTAAGGTATGATAGTGTTATTTGATAATGAGCATTTTAAATAATCATTTTCAACAGTTATATCAGTTTCATCTGGTGTTTTTCGTATTGAAAACAAAATCATTCGACTACTGTAAATACATTTTCGTGGGGCTAAAATTTCGTGGTTATGCAAAAATATAGATTTCAGCTGGTTTTTAATTCTTGATTAAAGAAATCGCTTTTACTTTAAGCCATGTCAACTTCTGTTTATTAGTTCGTTGAAATGTAAAATCCTGGATTTCGAGTGCCCAGGACACACAAAATAGTCTTTGACTTATTGCCTATGAATTTCAGGAAATGTTATTTTACCAATTTTTATTTCCTTTAATCGCTTTCTATAATTCAACAATTTAGGTCCTTAACATCAAAGGCCTAGAAGGACGAAACGTCTTTTTGATGAAGTTTAAGTAAAAGCAATTATTTTGCACAATTTTATCTAGTTAAAGCTTAGCATTGAAATGTGTAACTCATATGCACAATCTTATAAGCATTACGTTGATTTACTCATTTGTTAAAAAGGGGAAATAAAAAAAAAAGATGATTTTTTGTCAGCTAAAATCTGACTCACGCCTAAAACTAATGATTGACTATTCAGATAATCATCAAACAACTAGGCGAGGGCACTTTACCCTCTAATCATACAAAGAAAACAGGATATCGATAAATATCGCTAATTAAGGGTTAAACGGTTTGTTTCGTACATCCTTGATACGCAATACCGATTCTATTTGTCACTGTTTTCCGGTGACATCGTATTGGTTAGACATAAACTATTTCATCCATCCTTCACATAAATTCTCCATTTCCAGGTAAGACTTTTTTCCCTTTAGGTACATGATGAAATATCACTTAGAAAATGAAGTGTATGGTGTGTTACATCAGCTTGTCTAATTCACCGTGACAAAGATTTATGCACCAACTGTACAGATGTATACACATTACTTTATGACTGTTCATTTTAATATGTCAGGTATTTCTTGGTAGATCTTGATAATAACGCTCTCATTAATGTGCAATAAGATATTAATTTTGTTTCATTTTCAGCAAAAATATCAGGAAAGGTCAAATTCATTCCATATACAGTAAATGTAAATAAAATTGTGTCAACATATTATATGAATAGCTCTACGCACGTTTGAAAAAGCACAAAGGGTTTTACTGCAGGGGAAAGCCGGATCAAACGGAGAGTAGTGACATCCGGTGAGGTCATCTTGCACGTTAACACTGCATATCGGGTCACCGCAAGCGCGCTACAATTGTGTCATGCGTGCATCCTTATCGACGCACATATTAACCTCACAAGTTTACACATATTACTGACATTACAAATACTTTATTTAATTGAGCTTGAAGCTGTCCATACCTTGTGATGTCCCTGGGTTGAAGTCTACTGATGGACCGGTATAGGACGAGGGTGTCGTTCCAGAATTCCTTATCCATCTGTAACCATTGACCTCTTTGGTTTTGTAGTCACACATAAACGGAGTTTCGAAATTACAGGACACTGTTCGTAAGGGGTCTGTAATTCGAAATCTATGTTTTATAGTTGATAAATTAATAGCATGAGCCTAAAATAATGGCACGATCGGTCTTGATAATGTGCTGACATTCATAAAAATATCTAAGATATTAGAGGTCAAATCATAAATGTTTTTATACTTACCACAGACTGACCCCTCGTCGTCCCCATTCAGACAGTCCAGACGTGTGTCACATTGTTTCGACGCCGGTAAACATCGGCCATTCAAACACTGATATTCAGAATCTGTGCATTCTAAAGTAGGAAATTATTACCTTAATTAGGAGATATATTTCCTGTTATTAACATAAACTAAAATTTATGAAGGATCTATCAAATTCTCTTGAAATTATGGTCATAACAATTTTTAACCGTCAAAACGTTGCCGACTGCCGGTTATTTTGTTTTTCAGATCACTTCTAAAATCGAACAATAAGGAATAAACTAGGGAAACATATGAGCAATAGAAGATGGCTGCCAGTCTGATTTGTAAAAAACTGACTGTCGGGATTTTTTAGTTAGTTCCAAAACAGATCATGCTAAACGAAGGACTAAGAAGAAAGCACTAACAAATTACAAGATGACCTACTATCGTCTACTTTTTTCGAACTTTATATGGCTAGCTATTGCAATAGCGTGCAATTCCGTTACGTTTATGTTAATGGTAACATGTCGCAAATTTTAACGCTTGGGTGACGTCAGCAATGGGAGCTACAATGAATTAGAGGCGCCCTGTCAACTACCCTAAACTTACCACACAATGCCTCGTCAGTCTCGTCCAAGCAATCGACTATCCTATCACACCCAGCTGTAGCTGGGTAACAGAAGTTCTGAGAACCGCACTTGGACAAGGTGGCAGCACAATCTGTTGAGTATGTGTTTAGGTTAAGTGTTTTAAATTAGCAGGGTACTTTGCTAAACTACCTTTCACCAAGGATTAATTATTTTTAAATGACACAAATGAGAATATTATATTTAAAAGGATTCAAGAATCAAAACAGCATTTGCCAAATTAACAAGTGTTTATGACACAAACTGACCATATTATTATGTTTATATGTTGCTGTAAAGCTGCCGATGTAAAAGCCCCATTGAATACATACAACAAACAAAACATCAAAGAAGCCGATTGGTCTATTTTCGTGATGAATACGCGTCCGATACGGCTCTTAAACGTCAACTCATTGTCCATGTTAAATATTTACATTATGAAACGGACGAGCAAAACACACACTATCCTGTGTACAATTCAACCTTTTCGTGGTACGAAATTAAATTTAAGATAATATTTTAAAAGAAAAACTTTATTCCGATCGCATTTGAAACAATATAAACTCTGATCTATGCCATACCGTATGTAGGACACACTCCTCTTGATATTGAGAAGTCGTCAAGAGCTAAGTATGGCGTGGAGAAGATCATGGTGCGGTCCTGTGCCTGCGTTATGCTGTAACGTAGGGTCACTACTGATTCCCGAGGGAGTTGGATCTGTGCCTTAGCCCAACCAAACGACCGACCCGTTGTGAAGTTCCATAAATTAGTGTCAGGACCGTCAGAGTATTCAGCATCAACCTTTCATAAATATGTTTTAAACCATTTAGAATACACAATGAAAGCACCATTATATATGGATGTATTAAACTCGTATTTGACCAGAAGTAGAACATAATTGAATATTAATTTAGTTCCAACATAATATCATAGACTTCTGCTTTTTGATATAATTTATTACTGATCTGTAGATTTTTTTCCGTGGAATACATTTTGTAACGGCGCGTATGACTTCGGATTTTCACTTTTAGATACAACCATTTCAACATTTTTCCATTGCTAAGGTATTTAGGGTGGGTTTAACTGGAAGTTTTTGGAAAAAAGTTTACATGAATTATCACCGCAAATCACAAATTTGAAATAAGTGAATGCTGACATGATAGATCACATTTCTGTATTTTTAGGACCCAGATATAGATATTTGTCCATATCATGATATTATGACAGATAGATGAAAATTACAAAACAAAAGGGCAAAAAGTGAATGAAGATTTATGATTATTTGAAAGAGATCATTAAAAAGGTCAAAATACAGAATTACATTACATTTCATTGAGGTAGATTAATTTTAGCACGATTCAGAATGTACGCCTGTGCTTGACGTACTTTTGAAATTATTAAGTAAAAAGTACGAAAGTTATTAAATTTCTAGATTTCGACATTTCTTTAAACGGCTATTCTGTTTCATCACTTAGGCTCTTAGCATCACTGCCGAATCTTAGAAGCATGAAGGACGAATGAACTATATGATGCTGTTTTATTCATTATTTGGCTCTACTGTGTCTTACTCTAAATTTATTGTTTTCAGTACAACGTTTGGCCGTTCATCATTATCATTCTGATGAACTTATTGCATATCTTTAAACATATATACCTACACCACCCTATTTATACCTTAAATTCTGCTTCCGTGTTTCCTTTGAAGTAAAATACCAGACAGTGATCGAACATTTCAAGATTAAGCTTCTGTCTTATGATAATGTCCTCATCTTTTAAGAAAATTGTCTGAAAGGCGAACAGCATGAACCCTGAAATATACAAAAATGTAGAACAGAAATTTGAAATCTTCAGTTTTTCAAAGCATGAATATATATATATATTCTATATTTTCCGCAATCGCCTTTCAGGTTTGAACATTTTAGGCACTTATAATCACTGACGAGTCCTACATCATGATTCAGTTGTATAATATGTTCTTCACTTGCGTGTACTTTGTACGGTCTTCTAAATGAGATCTGCAGTGAGGGGAGCCAAAACCGTTGATTTTTCAAACAATCGTACCCACAAAAGAGTTTGTTTTTAAAATTATGGTGTCGGACGACAAAGTACATAATCCATGCAACTGAATGGTTTACCTAATCAATGTGTCATACTCGCCTAGCTTTCACCAGGTGGGCCAGTTTTTCTAATCCGACTTGGAGATATATAAGGACACCTTGATGATTGATTTTCCTTCAGTGGTAATTACTGTCCGATGAAAATTTCCATCAATTTTTTTTTTTTTTTTTTTTGGTCAAATAAAATAACGAAGTATAATAATGAAAATGACCGTACGTACCCTCTTTTTGACCAGAGGTATGGTCACTGAATGCCTGATGCAGGAGAACGGTGTCCAGGTACGTTTTGTTGGCAATCACAAGTTCACCTGTATCACTAGTATCCTGCTGAAATCCACACCTGGCGCTATCGTCAAAATCACAGGTAAAAGTTGGTGTGGATGGTTCGGCTGTGTAGGAAAAGAATAAAATATACTTTTTATTTAATGGTTTGTTAACCAAATGAAACTACCGTTTCACTATCTTAGATGGACATTTTAGACCATCCATTGGATCATGCAATCAGAAATTGGCAGTCTTCCTTACATATCACAATTCATTTAATATTTATACGCAGTTGGATTTTTCAATTGAAATTCTATACCATTACAAAAGATATACTGCCTTAAAGGGAGACAACATATTTGGTAAGACAAGAGGAGTTTTGTCCCCTGAATTGAATAGAAAAACCGGGGTAGAATCTGAGGCGAGATCGATTCCTATCAAATTCAGCAACAGTTGAAAGACATTTCAATACAGAAGACAGATATATCGATAACAAACAGCTATTTTTGTACCAATTTACATTTCTTACCAGTGCAAGTTGAAGCTCCCTCGTCTTCTCCCCCAGGACAATCGATAACAATGTTACATTTCGACTCCAGTGGAATACATGTAATTTTCATTGGATCAGAATCACATCGGAATTCATCTGTATTGCATACTGATAAAGGAGAGAATATACTACCGTTAACAAAAAAAATAATCGAATGTAATAAATCTAGGGCATGAAATGGCAAAATATGAATAAAAGAAAGATTTACATGGATTTTACTGAAAGTAAAACAGTAAAATAAGTGCAGGTATCCCGAAAGAGTAAGCGTCTACCGCTTTAGCGACTGCATCGACTATGCGAATCTTGGTCAATCCAAGTACATAATGTCACATTCTCAAATAAGAACAAGGAATTCAACAGCGGAACCAACAGAAATATTATCGAGCATCAAACACGTCCCACTTCAAATATAATTATTCTCAATAAGATCACTATAACGTTTATTAAACCCTTTATTGTAAGTTTGTTTATCATGCCGGCGTCTTGCAACTGATATTTTGCTATTGAGAACAGGCTCTGGAATATCGTGTCAGCGATGTCCAAGCTTTCAGACTTCATCATTTTTGTATTTCCATAACATATGCAAAATGTAAGGAATGATTCAAACAAGTAGGTTTACCTGCTGTGCTGCATATCCCAGGATGCACCATGACGTCGTCAATAGCGACCCGCATCTTATCAGAAGTGATGAATGCAAGATAGTAACGTCCTGCTGGAAGGTCAAGATAACCAGTTGACCACTGGTCTGAGAAGATTCCCTTACCAGAAGACCACATCACACGTGATTTAGGGTCGGCCTTGCTGCTCTCATTATAGACGCGAACGAACATGTTGGATATCACTTCACCACGAATGTTGTAGTGGAACCGCAAACACGAGGCAAGAACAAGGTTCAGCAATGGTGAAGTAACTCTGCCTTCTGGTCTGGTAATACTCGCGCCAACCAAGTACCTGCCTGTATTTAAGAATGTAGATTACATTTAATCCTGGTAACACTCGCCAAGTTCCTGTTTGTAATTAAGATATGTTATATTTTTCCGTTTCCATTCCTATTTAATATCTGACCGTTTGGTTGTCATGGTTATAATTTGAATAGTATTCAAAGATATTCAATTCTTATTAATTATATTTTCATAACATATACTTTTCGATTTTTTTAGTAGATAACTGCTACCAAATATCTCGTATACTTGTATATCTAAAACCAGTTTCTTGTTTAACTTGTATCAAAGGTATTTACCAGGCCAGCGCCCTCTAGTGTGATCGGCAGGAGGAAGATTAGTGGGATACTGTGATCTGTTATTGCCATGTTCCCATGAAAATCCGTCAACTTCATAGCCACACAAAAACGGATCATCGAAGGTACAATTAACGCTGATGGCTAAAAACGGAAAAAATATTTTTGGTAAGTACGACAAGTTAAATCTAATGTAAACTGAACAAAGAAGCATACATAATAAATCAGAAATAGCTAGAAACGAAAACCATAATCCAGAATTAAAAAGGAGGGTGTTCTCTTGCAGTTAATAGGTGAATATTAGCAATTAAAGAGCGAAAATTATATATATAAAAAAGGAAATTTTACTTAGATAAGAGGATCGAGCAGAAACAAACATCTACAATGAACCTTAAAAAAGGTAGATGTTCGTTGGTTGAAAACACTTTATTGAAAATTACATCAACTAAATGTCACTTACGGCAGTTGGTCGCTTCATCACTACCATCACCACAGTCGTCTTCTCTGTTACACAGTTGTTGCGCGTCGTACAAACGTTGGCCGTTATTACAAGTAAACACCGACGCTAAAATGTGTTATAAAATGTTCTCCGTCAATGACAGACATTTGAAATGTTTGATGTTAAAGAATGAATTTCCCTATAAATTAATTTTGTTCAAGAAAAACATTTTGGAAGTGCTATTTAATAGAAATAGGAGGTGTTTGGTTCCGGATAAAGACACACTATTCCTGGTTGGTACGGTTGAATAGAATACTTCATACTCAACGACGATTGAACATATTTTTATATGAATATATAACATATATTTCTCCTTGCTATCATTGAAACAGATTTCTTTAACGTACCACCTTTTTGAAAATATCTTTGCCGGTAGCTGATTAACCAAAAAGTAATAGAGATTTTAGTACAAATAATTACTGGTAGTTGTATTGATCCAGTTGACATAACGTCGGACATCTGTGAATACATTCGGTCTGGCTGTCCAGTTGCAGTAACTGGACACATAACTGGACACTCCGACCAGCTTCCAAGTTCCCATTGTATCTTTACATACTAGAGGACCGCCGCTATCTCCCTATAACGACAACATGAAAACATCAACTTTCTGAATAGAACATTGGAGCTATATAATGAAAGTTCACGGAAATTCTCATTCTTTTTTATTTTTGTTGAATCTAAAACCTTTACAACATTCGATTACAGGTTGATTCAATTTATAAATCAAAACATAAATAACATGTAAATTAGTTTAAATGTATTAATGACGCAAATACTATGGGCACATTATTGTGGGTATTTACAATAAAATGTTTGCTTAATGTATTCAGGGCAAAAATAGTGAAAGTTACGTAGATGGGTAGAAAAAGTTACACTGGACACGATAGATAATGGTCACCCTTTAGGCTGTTTATACAGTACCTTACACACTGACTTTATGCCACTGTAATACCCAGCACACATGTACGTGTCAGCAATCGTCCCGTTCCAACCATTCGTTCCGTTGCACTTGGGTAGTGTCCACAATTTCATCTTCAGTTCATTTAATGTAACGGAGTACTCGCCTGAATACAAAATTAACACACATTTCATTTTGCTTTTATTTTTATTAACCAGTTAATAACGATATGATGCTTTAGATGATATACTTCAAATCAGACAACATCATGACTAGAAATGTTTGTTCCATATTTGGACAAATTCAAAAGCGGATCTGCTTGTAAATTTAACCTTTTAACTTTTAAGAAGAACGTTTTGTGCTTTCCTATCCATGTGTCTTAAAAATAATAAATAAATGATAATGGTTTCATTAGCGATTTGTTAGGGGGTAGTCGTGTAAAATATATGTTCATTTTCTTAAAGGAAAGACAAAAACGCTATCAAAATGTACACTTACTGTCAACTACTGGTATAGATATATTAACGAGGGGAAGATATTTTATAAACAAAATATATGAATACTATACCTTCGGGTTCCGTCCTTCCCCATCCAGTGGTATAGCATATCGCTGTCTCCGGGAATATTTCTCCTTCCTCTGGTAGACAAATAGGTTGAATATAAGGCGTATACTTTACACTGTGAGCTAGCTGAAACAACGACAAATCTCCCGGTCCAAAACGATAGTAAGAGTTATCGGCCTTTATTACTCTCTTCACCTTGTACGTTTCCTTGGTAACGCCACCTGTAACTCGGTTGGTGGTTCCGAATACGACACTCATTGATGTTGGGTCTAGGAAATCGCTAAATATAAAATAAAGTCAACAATAAGTTTTTAATATTTTCCTAATCCAAGTTCATGTTCGTTCGGATGAAAATATTATTGAGATTTGTTGAATTTGCTCATAAGTACTGGCTTTGCCTGTCAACGCTCCATTCCATCATCGAATCCATCTTATAAAGTTTAGGGGAGTTTTAGGATATGATTAACGGTGAATGATATAGCAAATTATGCAAGACATATTTATCTATCGATTCAAAGCACATCTAGCGAGGTATCTTGCACGATGAAGTAAAAAATTCAAGTTTTCCGAAATTGGGCCGTAACGCAAAGCCGATGGCGTTTGCAACATAAATGATGGAATTAATGTATTGACAGAGGTAACTATATACCTTGGTTTGTTTTAATATGTAGATATATGGAGAAAGGAGTTCAAATAACTTCATCGTTTGAAGAAATACCATTACTCTTTAGGATCGTTGAAGGATATTTTGTTTACTTAAGTTTAAGCACTGAATAACTATATATTAACATGACAACAGAAAGCACAACCATTCTAACTGGTGATAGAAATCGTTATTGTATAATACTACAACCCTACCTACTTTACACAGTGTGTAGCAGTCACTATAAAGTCGGGAGATATTAGGGAGGCCCCACAAATATGGTTGCCGAAATCTCCGACCTGCAGTGACCCCTGCCATGGCCATGCCCCGGGCACCGCAGCATCACCATTGACAATGTATTGGACAATACCATCAGTCACGTGACGACGACCGCAATCTGAGAGAATAGAAATAGAATGAAATGAAAACATGAAACAGGTTACCTTCGATTTGCAAATTATATAATCTGAAGATGTGAATCTCAAAACATAGGTTTTCTTCATAGTTACTACCCGTCCAATTATTAACGTTGGTAATAAAATGACGTGCCAGGTTTTGGTGGTGGCGGTAAGCAGGATTTTCGGGGGGAACACCACCGACCTGCGGTCAGACGTCATTACCATTTGGCGGCCACTTCGGCCTTTCTTAAAATCAGACAAAGAAAAAAACATCCTTATTTATTTAGATTAAGATCTAGTTAATTTTAAAATCACCGTTTGTTTTTCAAATTTGATCAAATTTCGTTAAGACTAGATGAATTAACACATGTTTAAACAGTCTGCTTACCTCTAGGGACACACGTGATCACCACAACCTTATTGTCCTTACATAATGGACTGTAAAAAAGAGTAGAAATCAAAATAAACTGCAATATTTCCTATATTTATAAAATGGAGTAATTGATATTTCATCACAAGTATTGTCTAAATTGATAAATGTAAAATCTTACTAACTAATAATAACTAATAATAATCAAACGTAAATAAATTTCACTTCACCAACATGACTCAAAACAGATGTTTGTCTGCTCAGTTACGAAAGACGCTTTAGCGAATTGCATTCTGTATTGCTGACAAGTATAAAATTTCAGTCAAATTAAACCTACAGGTAGGCCTACATTGTATGATTTAAAACCCAAAGTGATCGAAAGAAATCCACAAGAAAAACGACTAGAAGGTGCTGTATAGACGACATTGAACACATAAAAAAAACGTGTAACGAAACTAGACATGATGTTTCCACCATGGTTTGTATACAAGAATAAAGCTTTGACATCTCATTTCATTCCAGTCGATACCTGTTTTTAAAACGTTTAAAAACTAGCGTTTACCGTTCCATTTGATAAATCTTTTTTTGATGCATGATAACGCCATGAAAATTTGAAAACAGAACGACAAGAAATGGCACAATGAAAAAGGGAGACGCGACATAAATATCCGAAGTTCAATCAAACGAAGGCATACAAAATTGAATGATAGGTTATAAAAGTTTTGTCGGTGATCAAGCAATGGTTTAAAACTTACCCAATATTGACGCGACCGAGGTAGCTGTTGTGAGATCCAGTAATGTTAATGCTGGCGTATAAGGCACTTGTGTAAGTCATGCTACTACTATTGACGGTCCGTCTACAAGGTAAGTAACATTCGTGAATGTTACCAAACTTTTGTAATATATAGTAACTATAAAAATGAATGATAATTACAACTTTATTTTTTTGTTTTGATTTTTGTTTTTGTTTTTTTTTTCATATTTTTCGATTGTACCATAGTTTTGGAGCAAAAAGACACTTTTTTCATAGAAATTTAAAAAACAGTCTATAGCTGTCTCGATTCTCTTCATTTTCAAAGTATATATTTCGCGATGTTTTACATTCCCATTAAGAGCGATACTTAGAACCCTTTACAATATATTCCTTTCTTCCCAGCATTCATTGATTTCTCAATATCAATTTAGTTTTACTTATCGTGTCCTTAACATCCTTAAAAGGAATGATAAGGACAGTAAACTGACATGTAAAAATATATAGATTTCATTCTGGTTACATTTTTTATTTAATTTTTTTTCTACAATTGTATGTTGACACGTGCATACATACTTGTCCCCTAGTTTTTCGCAGGCCAAGTACCCGGATGTATCTGTCCATGAATCTGCACACACCGGTACGTATGTTTGATCGGAGGCGATTTTCAAAACACCAGAAGAATCTCGGATCACTAAAAATAAAAAATTACTTAGCACTCATTATATCAATGGAGTAATCATCAAAACCATAAGGTTAACGTCCATTTACAAATTTATCATGGTTATTCGGTATCCAAAATCCTCCATTATGTACCTATGTAATGTCTAGTTCCAGTCCAGATTTAAAGATAAGAACAATGGCTAATAAAAAAAAGTATAAAACAACAGCAACAAAATGAAAATATCAACATGTTTACATGATTATAATCAAAACTACAATCCAATAAAACAATGGCAATGTATGAACAAAAGAATGATTAACGTGGGGATTCCTGAAAAAAGGAGAATAACACCAGGTGTTTCGGAAAAGTAAGCGTCTTCTGCTTCACCGACTTCACCCGCACGAAATCTTGGTCAATCCAAGTAAGCATTGTCACGTTCTCAATCGAGAAAAGGGTATACAACAACGGAACCACCGGGTAAACTAAAGAGCATTAAGCACGCCCAGCGTCATATTGCACAAAGAAATGGAATATTTCTCAATGAGATCATTATACTGACCATAATAATTATCAACAACCTGCCTCATTTAACATCCCGTATGACGAGTTTGTCATTGACGACTTCTTGCAAGAAAATCGAGATAATGGAAACAATATATCAATTTCACAGTATGTTATTGATATTAAAAATTTTCATTTAATTTTATTTCATTTTTTTAATTCTAGTCTTAGTATATCCCTGTATCAAAGCACTGTCTATTAATAACTGTTTTAATAGCATACAATGTAATTGCAAATCATTAGTGTTTTACTGTTTTACAAAATAGAAATATTCCATTTGACACTTACAGCACTCCCTTTCGTCAGACTGGTCAGGACAGTTTTTATGAAAGTCACATCTTTCTTTTTTATCGACACAATTACCGTCCAGACACGAGAATTCGGATGTCAAGCAAGTCTCTGAAATGTAAATAATAACATAGAGGTATTATCCTCGACAATACGACCAAAACAAAAATCACAAAAAAAAAAAAAAGACCCTAAATAACAAAATAAACATTACAGTAATTCTGATGTTTTTCTTACCACACATTGCTTCGTCCGATCGGTCAGGACAGTCCACTTCTCCATCACATACCCACTCTGCCATAATGCACGTGCCGTCCCCGCATTCATGCTGACCGTTAGGGCACTCTGTTTAAATATATTTGTAGGTAAACCTATACATAAGTACCCTTAAATGGATAACAATATAGATGTACATTTTATCGTCATTTAAATCACACACAGTAAAATCACACACAATAACATCGTTTCTTAATTGACCATTGCTAAAAGTCATTAAGCTCGTTTTTACATCAAGTACATGTTATTATCAAGTTACAACAAATATTTTTTTCATGTCATTTCATTGAAGAATTGACCAAAATGTTGGAGTCATACATATCCAAAAAATGACTTCAATGAAGAGTTGTTTTCAGCAGGCAATGTAAAGACAACGATTTTGACACCATTTTGCTGCAATGAATTTCTATTTCCGAAGTAATAACATTGGCATAACCTTTCTCCTTTCTTTTTTATATTTCAGATGATATTTTTTATTCCAAATACACAAAACTCCGATCTTGCGTCGTTAAGTCTATTTTGATGGTGAAAATGGCTATTGACACTTAAAGTAATGATATTTCTTAACGTTGATTGTAAAGTACATATACATATATATTTCTATCAAAGAATGGTTTTATTCTAATAAATATTATTTCATTTTGTTAACTTACGGCAAAGTTCCTCGTCGCTGCCATCCGGGCACTGTTTGACACCATCACATCTCTGGTAAGACTCAATACACATTCCCATTTTACACTGGTATTCGAACTCATCATCACAACCTAAGGATAAGGAAAGTCGATTCTCACAGTGATTCGGAAAAGAGTTACGAAATGAACATTTCATCAATTCATATGCTAAAACTTTCAACGCAATAGACAAAATTTACATCTGTACCTAAAGGATATTCATCTGTGCACACAGCTGTGACTTACGTTTGAACTAGAATTACGTGCATTATACAACTGCAAATACATTTGCACTTATATTCTGAAGTATATCTTCACGATCATGTTCGTATGTTTCCGTGAGCTGTGAACACATTTACTTATGATTTTGCTCAGTTATACAAGCATACAATAAAGACGATCCCGACAAAAACATAACAAATTTACTTACTACATTTACTTTCATCCGTCCAACCGATGCAATCTACCTTCCGGTCGCATACTGAGGATGTTGGGATACATTTAGATTCAGCGAGACAGGAGACCCAACCTCCAGCACAGGCTGTGATACAAAAATTCCATTTACGATATAATGAACGTACTTAATTTGGTGAATAAAAATTTGGGCGTATTATCATATCATTTAGCGCAATGATAGACTTGCACATCCACAGTAACTGCAACTAAAGCAACGCACAGAAAATGCACTGGGCGCAATCATATTTAAACGCAAAACTTTCTGTGTGAAAGGCGGTAAAATAAGATAACCACAAAAATGTGTACGTTTACAGTATTGCTTAGTTATTACACGATTTTATAACAAAAACAGTTATAAATGTTAATGGGCTGAACAAAGATTGTTCTTGATGTGATGTTCCATCAATCGTTGTTTTTTGTTTAGGGATTATCTTGTAATTACAGGTTTTCACGTCGACAAAAATAAATAATTCAGTGGATTACAACTTTGATAATATATACTTACATGGTCGTTTGAAATCAGGAAGCATACAATTGTCCGAACCATTGTACACGGGGTAATCTTGGCAGTAAAAGGGATAAGGAAGGTTCACGGAGCAAGCTTGGTTAATAGCTGTAATCATAATGTTACCAAATCTTCATCAGCTACTCACACGAATAAAAACAATCCATCATATTAACAAAAAAAAACTGTGTACATACATATATTTTATAATATCACAAAGTTTTATGTAGCATTCAATGATCATAACAAGAGAGAGTATCAGTTTGTAAACAGATATCTAATTTGAACAAAACGAGGCCGAAATATTAACATCCCTAGAAGGACGAAACAGCTGTGTGACGCAGTTTAATTCATCGCTTGATTATACGGTTTCTAATTCTAAATTTGTAACATTTGAAAAGTGTTTTCACTTGAGCTTATTTTGTTACAATCAAAGGAAAGATTTACACAAAGACACAGATAAGGATTATAAGAACAGAGGTTCCAGAAGGATATGCGTCTTCTGCTACATCCGTGTTACCCGTCATGTAGGCTTAGAGACACCATAACTCCTCACGTTTATATATATCACGTAATTAATTTGTTTCGAAGTTTCAAACACTCGAGTCATACACTTGCCCCTTCCTTCTTGTATATGTGATGTCAAATATATGATGTCTCCGCATTGTACAACAGGTGTGTTATATCTGAAAAACAAGGAAATGCATTTTTAAAAAGCATATACCTTCACAGAAATGTCGACAGGGGAGATAACTGGCGCCTCTGTCACATGTCGGAAACAACTGAGAGCAGATGAATCGTCCAACATCCGACGAACAATTGCTGTTAAATGTTGCTTCGAAATCTCTGCTGTAGCTCTCCATGGCAGTGGTTTGGTCTTTCTCCAGAAATACATTTGGAAACCGCGTGTTGTTAAATCCCTGCATCTTACAAGCATTTAGTTGAACAGGATCACATGTTTCTGTTTAGAAAGAAAATAACGAATTTGAAATATATTACTACAAGAGAGATCGAATGCAGATTCAAGACTCCCTTGAAAAGAAATTCCGTTTGATGTCCAGAAGGTATCAACGAGTAACGCATTTGTAAACATCACGAAAATACTTACATATCAATATAATCATAATCCAAACTAAAATTCTATAAAACCAGGTCAAAATATGAACAAAAGGAAGACTTACACGGAGACTAATGAAAAAGTACTATAAGAATAAGACCAGGTGTTCCAGAAGAGTAAGCTTCTATGATTGGTGTGTATGACATCATAACTGTTGTGTTGAAAAATACATACCTGGAGTAACGGTCGTTGTAGATGTAGATACAGTCGTTGAAGTTGTTGATGATGATAACAGAGGAGGTACACAATTTTCTGTCGGTAAGGCCTGACACAGTTGTTCATTTACAATTGGGAAGCTGTCTCCACAGTCACTCAGGGCAGCTATTAAACACAATAATATTTTTCTTTTGTAGTGTTTTACTAACTATCATACAGTTCTTATAACGCCATGAACACAGAAGAGGTAAAAATGATTCTTAAAGTACACCGCGCCCAAAGTGTTGGAGGCGATAACTCTCTTAATCGTGTATTTTAGGTTTTATGCATGTAAATGATACCCTTACCTTCACAGAGACTTCGACATGGATACAGAGGAATGCCTTGGTCACATTTCAAGAACAATGATGCACAAAGCATATGACGAGCATTATCAGAACAGGCAACGGATAAATAGGTCTGGAAAACGGTAATGGCGGTATCTTGGTCGCCTTGTTGGAACAGATTAGGAAACACCGTCGTATTAAGCCCGACAGTAACACACTCAGGCACGCGAACTGCTTCACATAAATCTAGCGAAAAAAAGAAAAAGGTCAACAGTTTTGAAAAGGAACTTGGCGATAGTTTCAATGCAGATCGATTTGAAATTCGATTCATACTGATCTATTTCAGATTAACTTTCCACTCCAATTTATCCTTTTACGTTAGGTATGGTCTCTAATCACTTTCGTACGTGTTTTTGATAAAGTGATAACCCATACTAGATTTAATATTTCTTGCCTCTCGTGAACACTTCCAGAAAGTATTATAATTTACATTATTTGCCTTACTATATTATCAAGAATTCATTGTGAAACTTTTGTTCAGATTTAAATGTAATTTCCTTTTTCCTGATTCGTCAAATGTTGTAAACTTGCTCTATAAATGTTCTATGAATATTGCCTTGCAATGAAAAACGTGGAATAGATAGACACAACAGACAATATTAGGCTGACTTAATGCCTAGCGTAGCTTACGGACCTGGAGTAACGGTCGTTGTGGATGAAACCACAGTCGTTGATGATGATATCAGAGGAGGTACACAGTTATCTGTCGGTAAGGCCTGACACAGCTGCTGTGTCACTACAGTGAATCCGTCCCCACAGTCATTCAGGGCGGCTGTTCAACAGGTAGGAAATAACATCTAATAAACACTTAAAATGGTCGTCAAATTAAATCTGACACGTACAACATCAAAAATGCTGATATTGCTGATTAACTATATAAGAGAACATCAAACGAGACAGAATCTCCATTCGGACTAACTGACTTTCGCTTCTTATACAATACCATTCAGTTTTGTCGAATACGAAATTCCAAGGAACATCCAACAAAGTGGATACCGAAAATATTTAGTTTTAGCAGGATTAATTTTCGCTATTTTCGAGGTAGGAATAAAATTGTGATTCACAATTACATACAGTAGAGTCTCTCTCTTTCTCTGTCCCTCTCTGTCTGTCTGTCTGTCTGTCTGTCTGTCTCTGTCTGTCTCTCTCTCTCTCTCTCTCTCTCTCTCTCTCTCTCTCTCTCTCTCTCTCTCTCTCTCTCTCTCTGTGTGTGTGTGTGTGTGTGTGTGTGTCTCTCTCTCTCTCTTTATGTCTCGGTCCCTCCGTCTCTTTCTCTGTTTGTCTGTCTCTCTCTATCTGTCTGTCTGTCTCTCTGTCTCTCTCTCTCTCTCTTAAGTATTACTTGCTATATCAAGGAACAAGATAAGATATGTTTATATCGGAACAATTGCAGCAGCTGTATATTAATAAATATGTAATTTGATCCAGATTTAGGGTAAATAAAAGTCGAAGTAACAACAAAAATTATTCACAAAGCACCGTTTAATACATATTAAGAGTTAGATACAGTAGAGGCCAATGACAAAGAAAACTGCATCACACAAATCTTCAGTTCTTATAAGACTCGCCAGTTATGCCAAGGGGCCTGAATGTTAAACCTAAGAGGCGACTTAGGAACATGCAAAATGATAGAAAGACATGACTAAATCTAAATTTACATTTAAAGTTGAATGGGTGATTCTAATGAAAAATTTCAATAAATCAGTACCTAATGTTAACAGAATTCTACAATACCTTCACACAGACTACGACAAGGATACTTCGGAAGTCCATTATCACAGGAAAGAAACAGATATGCACACAGAAAATGGCGAGCATGTTCGGAACAGGCTTGCGGAAGGTAGGTCTGGAAAATGGTGATTGCGGTATCTTGGTCCTCATTTTTGAACAGGTTTGGAAAAACTGTCGCATTCATTCCAAATGCAAGGCATTCAGGTACCCGCACGGCTTCACATAACTCTTTAATATACATAATAATCAGGTAAAACGAAAAGCTGCCAATGTAAAAAAAAATTATTCCAAAGACATTAAACTCCAAGGACACAAACACTGCCGGAAGCACACAAGTCAAACGTCAAAAACAATTTGGGCCAATTCCCAGCTAAGTTTTTTTTTCAATAATCGTTACCATTGCTTGAAATAAAGTTTGTTATAAACATGGTATATCCCGGTATGTTAAAGGAAATAATGTAGTATCTATTTAAGTATCCATTCCTTAAATTATTTTTATTTCTAATGACCTGTTTTTGAAATATCTCTACAAGTATTTACAGGGATTTCTTTATCAATATTTTGTAGTTTACCTGGTTTGAGGGTGGTGGATGCGGTTGTGGTGGACACATCTGTAGTCGTGGTAGTTGTACGGAGAGGGAACACGCATTCGGTTGTCGGAAGTATTCGACATAAGTCAGCTGTAACCAATGGGAACCCCGTGCCACACTCGGATAGCACAACTACAATAGTCACAAAAGGCGATCTATTAAAATTTCTACGTTAAAAAGATCTTTTTAGGAGGGTTACTATTGAGCAAAATCCATACTCGTGGCTTTTAAACTGCTTTTGTGACACCAATTTAAAAGAATATTCGTTTGAAAACGTGTAAAGGTTTACTTAAGTTGTAACTGAAATACTCATCTTCAACAAGTAAGAGGATACAACCCAGACTATGGGCAAGTGCAAAATGGCTTCTCTTTTATATAAATTGATCACATATTTATTCCGGTTCTTATTTATTTTTTTAATTTTGATGAAATTCGTATCAACTTCTCACCTTCACATAAATTACGACACGGATAAACTCGCCTCCCCTCATCACACGTAAAGAACAACAAGGCACATAACATGTGATCAGGGGACATGTGAGTGCAGCAAATTCATCTCATCTGATAATTGTATATAACCTGGCATTGAGATAGTATCACTGTAGCGAGCTTATAATTTACTTAATAATGATACGATATTTTGAACTTTTGGAATGATGCTTTGATATTGTGGAAACGTTTGTGGAAAAGTTTGTGGGAAAGTATCAGAACAGAGGATTACATTTTCGTAAACTCCATTTTTTTTTTTTATCAAAAACTTGTTTTGTTTCTCGTACAGAAATTCTTTCAAACATAAAATACCATTCTCACCTTCACACAAACTACGACACGGATAAACTGGCCTTCCTTCATCACACGTAAAGAACAACATGGCACATAACATGTGATGTGCATTGTCGGAACACGTCATTGGAAGGAAATTGTCGTAATAAGCCACAGCCTCGCTTTGGTTACTAGACTGTAACATGTTCGGAAACACGGTCATGTTTATTCCCATGGCAACGCAAGCGTCCACTGTCACTTCTTCACACAAATCTGGATTAAGTCAAAATCTTCATTTCAGGTAAGACAAATATGAAAAGTTTTCCAATATAATATTCCGCAAGAATGAAAAATAATCATAGTAATATTTCAAAAACTTGTAAGCATATTTTATATTATCTACACAGGAGCGTGTCTCGATTCTCTTAAGTAAATATGGGGACATTCAAACAATGTTCCTTCATTATTATGTAAATGCGCATGACAACCAAATGTCTCAAAGCAATTGTACACCAGAAGCAGCTTACCTGGTTTGACGGTGGTTGACACATCCGGAGATGGTGTGGTGCTTACACGTTGAGGGAGAGCGGCCACACAGTCAGTTTCTGGTAATATTGCACACAGGTCGGCCGTGACCAATGGGAACCCAGAACCGCACTCGGACAGGACAACTGTAACGGCACATTTACCAAACATGTGAACAAGACTATCACTAAGACTCTTTCGATCAGGGGACATGTGATTACAGCAAATTCATCTCATCTGATAATTGTATATAACCTGGCATTGAGATAGTATCACTGTAGCGAGCTTATAATTTACTTAATAATGATACGATATTTTGAACTTTTGGAAAGATGCTTTGATATTGTGAAAACGTTTGTGGAAAAGTTTGTGGGAAAGTATCAGAACAGAGGATTACATTTTTGTAAACTCCATATTTTTTCATATTTTTTTATCAAAAACTTGTTTTGTTTCTCGTACAGAAATTCTTTCAAACATAAAATACCATTCTCACCTTCACACAAACTACGACACGGATAAACTGGCCTTCCTTCATCACACGTAAAGAACAACATGGCACATAACATGTGATGTGCATTGTCGGAACACGTCATTGGAAGGAAATTGTCGTAATAAGCCACAGCCTCGCTTTGGTTACTAGACTGTAACATGTTCGGAAACACGGTCATGTTTATTCCCATGGCAACGCAAGCGTCCACTGTCACTTCTTCACACAAATCTGGATTGAGTCAAAATCTTCATTTCAGGTAAGACAAATATTAAGTTTTTCTAATATGCGCGTATGATATTCGACAAGGAGGAAAAATAATAAAAATTATATTTCAAAAACTTGTAAGCATATTTTATCTTATCTATATACGAGTGTTTTCAAAGTCACAATGAAATTGTAAATTCGGACCTAAGATTTGCCTGTTTGTCTAGATTCTCTTATATAAATATGGGTACTATGTAAATGCGCATGACTACCCAATGTCTCAAAGCAATTGTACACCAGAAGCAGCTTACCTGGTTTGACGGTGGTTGACACATCCGGAGATGGTGTGGTGCTTACACGTGGAGGGAGAGCGGCCACACAGTCAGTTTCTGGTAATATTGCACACAGGTCGGCCGTGACCAATGGGAACCCAGAACCGCACTCGGACAGGACAACTGTAACGGCACATTTACCAAACATGTGAACAAGACTATCACTAAGACTCTTTCGATCAGGGGACATGTGATTACAGCAAATTCATCTCATCTGATAATTGTATATAACCTGGCATTGAGATAGTATCACTGTAGCGAGCTTATAATTTACTTAATAATGATACGATATTTTGAACTTTTGGAAAGATGCTTTGATATTGTGAAAACGTTTGTGGAAAAGTTTGTGGGAAAGTATCAGAACAGAGGATTACATTTTCGTAAACTCCATATTTTTTCATATTTTTTATCAAAAAATTGTTTTGTTTCTCGTACAGAAATTCTTTCAAACATAAAATGCCATTCTCACCTTCACACAAACTACGACACGGATAAACTGGCCTCCCCTCATCACACGTAAAGAACAACATGGCACATAACATGTGATGTGCATTGTCGGAACACGTCATTGGAAGGAAAATGTCGTAAGACGCGACAGCCTCACTTTGGTTACTAGACTGTATCATGTTCGGAAACACGGTCTTATTTATTCCCATGGCAACGCAAGCGTCCACTGTCACTTCTTCACACAAATCTGGATTAAGTCAAAATCTTCATTTCAGGTAAGACAAATATGAAAAGTTTTCCAATATAATATTCCGCAAGAATGAAAAATAATCATAGTAATATTTCAAAAACTTGTAAGCATATTTTATATTATCTACACAGGAGCGTGTCTCGATTCTCTTAAGTAAATATGGGGACATTCAAACAATGTTCCTTCATTATTATGTAAATGCGCATGACTACCCAATGTCTCAAAGCAATTGTACACCAGAAGCAGCTTACCTGGTTTGACGGTGGTTGACACATCCGGAGATGGTGTGGTGCTTACACGTGGAGGGAGAGCGGCCACACAGTCAGTTTCTGGTAATATTGTACACAGGTCGGCCGTGACCAATGGGAACCCAGAACCGCACTCGGACAGGACAACTGTAACGGCACATTTACCAAACATGTGAACAAGACTATCACTAAGACTCTTTCGATCAGGGGACATGTGATTACAGCAAATTCATCTCATCTGATAATTGTATATAACCTGGCATTGAGATAGTATCACTGTAGCGAGCTTATAATTTACTTAATAATGATACGATATTTTGAACTTTTGGAAAGATGCTTTGATATTGTGAAAACGTTTGTGGAAAAGTTTGTGGGAAAGTATCAGAACAGAGGATTACATTTTCGTAAACTCCATATTTTTTTTATCAAAAACTTGTTTTGTTTCTCGTACAGAAATTCTTTCAAACATAAAATACCATTCTCACCTTCACACAAACTACGACACGGATAAACTGGCCTTCCTTCATCACACGTAAAGAACAACATGGCACATAACATGTGATGTGCATTGTCGGAACACGTCATTGGAAGGAAATTGTCGTAATAAGCCACAGCCTCGCTTTGGTTACTAGACTGTAACATGTTCGGAAACACGGTCATGTTTATTCCCATGGCAACGCAAGCGTCCACTGTCACTTCTTCACACAAATCTGGATTGAGTCAAAATCTTCATTTCAGGTAAGACAAATATTAAGTTTTTCTAATATGCGCGTATGATATTCGACAAGGAGGAAAAATAATAAAAATTATATTTCAAAAACTTGTAAGCATATTTTATCTTATCTATATACGAGTGTTTTCAAAGTCACAATGAAATTGTAAATTCGGACCTAAGATTTGCCTGTTTGTCTAGATTCTCTTATATAAATATGGGTACTATGTAAATGCGCATGACTACCCAATGTCTCAAAGCAATTGTACACCAGAAGCAGCTTACCTGGTTTGACGGTGGTTGACACATCCGGAGATGGTGTGGTGCTTACACGTGGAGGGAGAGCGGCCACACAGTCAGTTTCTGGTAATATTGCACACAGGTCGGCCGTGACCAATGGGAACCCAGAACCGCACTCGGACAGGACAACTGTAACGGCACATTTACCAAACATGTGAACAAGACTATCACTAAGACTCTTTCGATCAGGGGACATGTGATTACAGCAAATTCATCTCATCTGATAATTGTATATAACCTGGCATTGAGATAGTATCACTGTAGCGAGCTTATAATTTACTTAATAATGATACGATATTTTGAACTTTTGGAAATGATGCTTTGATATTGTGGAAATGTTTGTGGAAAAGTTTGTTGGGAAAGTATCAGAACAGAGGATTACATTTTTGTAAACTCCATATTTTTTCATATTTTTTTTTATCAAAAACTTGTTTTGTTTCTTGTACAGAAATTCTTTCAAACATAAATGCCATCCTCACCTTCACACAAACTACGACATGGATAAACTGGCCTCCCCTCATCACACGTAAAGAACAACAAGGCACATAACATGTGATGTGCATTGTCGGAACACGTCATTGGAAGGAAAATGTCGTAAGACGCGACAGCCTCACTTTGGTTACTAGACTGTATCATGTTCGGAAACACGGTCTTATTTATTCCCATGGCAACACAAGCGTCTACTGTCACTTTTTCACACAAATCTGGAAATCAATGACAATGATTCGATGAATTAAAAATCGAATTTCGATTTGGAGATTTGGGGGGGAGATGCAACACCACATAGTGTAAAATAAGACATTTTTGTGGGGCTTAATTTTCGGAGTTTTTTTCCCCCAAAAAATGACTTTTTCGTTAACTCTTGATTTCGTAAATAATTATAGCTTTATAAGACTACTTATTCTGATTTTAATTTTTGTGGATTTCTACATTAAGAGTACCCACAAAATTACTGAAAATCAAACGCACACGAAAATATGATTTCACAATAGTGAAGACGGTTATAAAAACCATAAAAAGGGGAGATTCTAATTAAATCATTCATGTTTACCTCAAGGAAAACTTCTGATACCATATAATATAAAAGATGACTGATGGATATTATGTCAGAGTTATATACCTGGGACTGAAGTAGTTGACGTCGTTTCTTTGGTTGTCCTTTGTGGAATTGTGCTTGTACTAGTTACAATATTTGGAGTTGTACTTGTAGATACTATACTTTTTGGAGTTGTCATGGTAGCAGCTGTACTTTTAGGTGTAGTTTTTGTAGTTGTACTTGAAGGAGCTGTACTTTTTGTAGTGGTACTTTTTGGAGTTGTCATGGTAGCAGCTGTACTTGTGGGTGTAGTTTTTGTAGTTGTACTTGAAGAAGCTGTACTTTTTGTAGTGGTACTTTTTGGAGTTGTCATGGTAGTAGCTGTACTTGTAGGTGTAGTTTTTGTAGTTGTACTTGAAGGAGCTGTACTTTTTGTAGTGGTACTTTTTGGAGTTGTCATGTTAGCAGCTGTACTTTTAGGTGTGGTTTTTGTAGTTGTACTTGAAGGAGTTGTACTTTTTGTAGTGGTACTTTTTGGAGTTGTCATGGTAGCAGCTGTACTTGTAGGTGTAGTTTTTGTAGTTGTACTTGAAGGAGCTGTACTTTTTGTAGTGGTACTTTTTGGAGTTGTCATGGTAGCAGCTGTACTTTTAGGTGTGGTTTTTGTAGTTGTACCTGAAGGAGTTGTACTTTTTTTAGTGGTACTTTTTGGAGTTGTCATGGTAGCAGCTGTACTTGTGGGTGTAGTTTTTGTAGTTGTACTTGAAGGAGCTGTACTTTTTGTAGTGGTACTTTTTGGAGTTGTCATGGTAGCAGCTGTACTTTTAGGTGTAGTTTTTGTAGTTGTACTTGAAGGAGCTGTACTTTTTGTAGTGGTACTTTTTGGAGTTGTCATGGTAGCAGCTGTACTTTTAGGTGTGGTTTTTGTAGTTGTACCTGAAGGAGTTGTACTTTTTTTAGTGGTACTTTTTGGAGTTGTCATGGTAGCAGCTGTACTTGTAGGTGTAGTTTTTGTAGTTGTACTTGAAGGAGCTGTACTTTTTGTAGTGGTACTTTTTGGAGTTGTCATGGTAGCAGCTGTACTTTTAGGTGTGGTTTTTGTAGTTGTACCTGAAGGAGTTGTACTTTTTTTAGTGGTACTTTTTGGAGTTGTCATGGTAGCAGCTGTACTTGTGGGTGTAGTTTTTGTAGTTGTACTTGAAGAAGCTGTACTTTTGGTAGTGGTACTTTTCGTAGTAGTACTGGTAGCAGCTGTACTTGTTGGGGCTGTACTTTCAGAAATTGTACTTGACGCTGGCGTTGCTTCAGTGGCTTTTGTTGTATATTGATCTGAAATACGGAATTTTGATACATTACAAGAAAAACAAGAGGCCCAGTAGGTCTGTGTCACCAACAGCCAAAAACGAGAATTAAATGGTCATTGTACAATATGTGATTATTAATCTTCAGGCTTTGCAGATAAATATGTAAAAATTTTGTCTACTAAAAAGGCATATTTGATGCCATGATATGCTAGATATCACCATATGTTAGATAATAAACAGAAAATAAGAATAAACGAGAGTGATTTTATGTAACGTTATGAACGTAAACCTACCTCTAATCTTCAGTATGACGGTGGCTGGATTTATATTCAAAGTCGTGGTGCCTTCAGAATTGGCAACCTTGATTATATACTCGGTCATGGTTGGTAGAACCTCAGGGCGCGCGAGTTCTGCAGACTCTCGAAACGTCATGTTAAAAAATACTCTTATACTTCCCCGACTGAAATAGAACATATGACGTCATTGATCTACAATGTAAGTAAATTGTAAACAATACCGCTATGAAATATCTAATCGTCAAATATTTCTAAATATAACACTTGTTGTAATGTTTACTTTATAAAATGATCAATTCAAAATAAAATGTACTTTGATTGGTGTTTAAGTCGAAGATTGCACAAACGACTATCAATGAATATCATCTTTCAATATAATTACTACTACCCTTAGTACAAACGACTATCAGTGAATATCATCTTTCAATATAATTACTACTACTCTTAGTCTCCGTACTTGTAGGATAAATACGTCTTTCACATGCTACTACCTTCAGTCCCCGTACTTGTACGGATATATAAGTCTGTGACAGGCTACTTACCTCAGCTTCCGTACTTGTACGGATATATAAGTCTGTGACAGGCTAGGTTGCTATTAATCATTATATCGTCTATCTGTAATATAATACAAAATGCTTATCAAATACTAATTGACTGAAAGTTTTTCATTAACAAAATCAAAATAATAAAACGAGCAAACACGATGCTTAACAAAATGGAAGAAATAGTGGGAAAAATATAGAGACGATATAGATAAAGGAATACAAGTCAAGTCGCCCCCAAGACAAGTCGCCCCCAATCCTAAATAAGACAAGTCGCCCACTCGTAAGACAAGTCGCCCCATATATCAAGACAACTCGCCACCCAAAAGTATAATGAGGTGTTATGCGTCACAAAATAGGGGGCGACTTGTCTTGGGGGCGACTTGACTTGATACCAGATAAAGATGGCTGTAAGTTACATGAATATCGACGATTTATGTTCGTCACTTGTTTCACTGGGGTTTTTGTTACCCCAAGCTCTACATTGAGAACGTGATATTATTTGTGTGCGAATAAGATATACATGCAGAATGTCGTAATTAAAGCAGGAGATATCAAAGGTTTTCATTTTCCCCCTAATTTCCCAATGATTCTATCCCACACGAGTTTAAATCACCGGGGCGCCACCATCGCTTTTCAAAGGGGGACAACTGGAAAAATGTTTCTTGGATACACCCGGGTATTTACAGAGCTCTAAACCACAAATGTATTGTCTGAAAACTTACCTCTTTAGTAATATTATTGACAGTAGTTTTATATAAAGACGATGTGTTATCTGATAACGCATCATCCCAATCATCGTATATAGAAAGTTCTCCATCCAGTAGCTGCAATTCTGAAATTATCAGATTAACGTTAGATATATACAATGTCACAGGTATTATAATTATACCTAAATTACAAAGTAAAAGTTGTCATTACTGTAAATTTCAAGGTCACAGATATTTCACTTAAAATTTGTGAACAGCTAGAAGATAACACTGCCGGTCGCCTTACTGGCCTCGGCTAGTGGGAAATTCTCGTTAGTCCAGCGATACAGTTCCTGACTGTTGACCGACCGAGTGGACGCTAGTCCGAAACCCTATGGAACAATGTGTTTCTCTTTACTCCGAAATCAACGGACCAATAGAGACCAGCAAAAATGCTTAATTGGTGTGAAGTATAACAGATAATGATTTTAAATGTCGCCTTTTTTATGTTAATGAAATCTGTTAAATTATCTGGACAGACAGATGTGGTGACTAACCTTGTGGAGCTACTGTGGTGCCCGTGGTATTGGACGAGGTTGTAAGCTCCTGAGACATTTCTGTAATTAAACAAAACTGTCTTACTGAATAACTACAAATAAGCTTACTTGGGATTAAAAAAGGTCATGGAGGACGCAAAGGGAAGTAACTCTAGCAGATCAACAAGCACTTATCCTTATTTTCTGATGAATATGAGTGGTACAAATTTAGCAAAAACTAACTCTGTTGTGTTTACGTTGTCTTGGTTTCAATCACAATTAATCCACCTGCATTCGTAAAAATAAAAGAGAAAAAGGAAGACGCGATATGGCCTGTTTTATTCAGTACACCGGTGTTTTGAAACAAATACGTTTTCTTAAATCTACTCTTTAAAATGTGAAATAAGACAAATTCTATTAATAGAAAGTGGGCCAATAGAAAGTATTCTAAGATTTTGTCGCGATGACATTTTGAACAAACTTGTATTCACTTCAAAGTAGTCGTTAATTAAAGGTGTCGAATCTTATCGGAAGGAAATTAGTGACTAAAGATATTTATAACTAATCTACACATGATTGGCCATTATTTTTCAAAAATAAAATCATATTCCGATACGATTTTTAAAGCATTCATATTTTGGTAAAGGCCATATACGTTCATTAGATCCTTGTCGGAAAAAAAACGGGATTGAAGAATAGAAATAATTAAATCAGACCTTTAAAACTACTTACTATCAACTCCAAACACATGAAACACTAATATCACAGCCACGCCTGCAAGTAGTCCAGCTAATAAGACAATGGTCAACACTATGGCAAAACAGCATCCCGAACATTCCGATTTTTTCTGCGTCTCACTGTCAAAATCACGCGCACTTTCCACGCGATCTCGTTTCGTGCTGCCGAGACTTGTCTCTGTTACAAATACATTGTCATCGTCATTTTCAACGGTTTTGTTGACGTTGTCAATGCTAGACGCAAAGCCTATATTGGTGTAGACAAACTTATTCTCTGATTCTGTGGGCGACGGGGTCAAGTCATGACTCAGTTTGTATTTCTGAAACAAAAAAAAATCATAATCATAATGTTGAATTTGACAGATGTTTGATCCCCTATGTACAGGCACTGATTACAACTGATTCTCCAGTTAGTTCACTGCTATTTCAACCAATTAACGGGAAAATAAATTGTGACCAGCCCCTGTGATCTTTCTGACTGTATCACCTAGATCATCTCCGAACGGCAAGATTGATATTTTGAACCGCATGTTATCTGCCTGTCCTAGATTCACTTGTATGGAAGATCGAAGAAATATTCCCGTTTTTTGGTAGAACCTTTTATTTTCGTTTTGTTTCAAAACAAATAAACGGCATAAGTTAACGAATAAATGTATTTGCTTTTTTTTTTTTTTTTTAAAGCTAGAATATTTTCGAATGTGTATCATATGCTTTTTTTTATAGAAAGTTGTAAACTTGAAAATCATCATTTAAAAAACAAGACATGTATGAATCAATGAATATAGCTGACAGGGATATAAATATATACATAATCATCGCCCATATTCAACTGCTATATTTAGACATTCTACTCACACCACCATGGCGAGGCTCACTCCATCACCTATATCCTTATACACAGACACACTCCATCACCTTTATCCTTATACAAAGACATTCTTTCGACACTGTCATCACCCTTAACCATCCGCTATCACAGATATAGTCCATCTGCATGTCCAGTGACTTCATTATCAAACCTCCATCACCCCTATAACAACTCCAATCACGTAATTTCTATCCCCATACATGGTCACCTTTTCCACACTACCATCGCCCTATAATAGTCCCCACCCCCCATTTTCTATCCCCATACCAGGTCACCTTTTTCACACTACCATCTCCCAATAACAAGTCCCCACCCCCCATTTTCTATCCCCATACCTGGTCACCTTTTCCACACTACCATCTCCCAATAACAAGTCCCCACACTACCATCGCCCTATAATAGTCCCCCCCCCCATTTTCCCCCCATACCATCTCCCAATGACAAGTCTATCCCCATACCTGGTCACCTTTTCCACACTACCATCTCCCAATAACAAGTCCCCACCCCCCATTTTCTATCCCCATACCTGGTCACCTTTTCCACACTACCATCGCCCTATAACAAGTCCCCACCCCCCATTTTCTATCCCCATAACTGGTCACCTTTTCTACACAACCATCTCCCAATGACAAGTCCCCACCATCCTTTTTCTATCCGTATACAAGGTCACCATCATTACCGTCACATCCATATTGACACATACCCTATTCCTGATGTTGTCCGTGGTAGACCTACGTGATCGGGTAGACTTTAAATGTCTCCGTTCTTCGGAGAAGATATCATCCATTTGGTACATATTACAAGTAAGACTATTAGTATTACAAAATTCCTGTACATTATATAGTGTCCAGAATCCCGCCAAAGACCTGTAGTGTCATAAAGTTCACTCTCTAATCCAGGATTTTTGTTTACTCTGTCACACGGATATAGGTGTATAAATCAACAGATAAAATCAACACAATGTAAATGATGACATGTTGTATAAGTACTTCTCTACCACTTTTATGGTGCGGTTCATTTTATCGAGAACTGGTCAGTGACGCGGAAGCAAAACTATTCAAGAAACAAACACCCTTCCTTTGTTTTGTTTTCATGTTTGTAACAGTGTCACTGACTGGTTAAAAATCATCATAGGCTATATCCTCTACGGCGCGTGTCTTCGTGGTATGGCCAAGTCATATTCTTCCAGAGTTGCCGCCCTTCATTTTTTTTACGTCGAGCAGACAAGGCTCATGCGATTTGAAAAACAAGGATGCACAAAAAAGGACAAACAAACAAACAAGAAAACGGCAAATATATATTTTTTTCTTTTTCTTTTTTTTTTTTTTTTTGAAGTGAGATGCTTCACACAATTTATGAAGGAACTGATAGGAACTGAACTTTAAACAGTGGTAACGCAATCGCCTTTCACCTGGCCGTCTGGGATTCGATCCCCGGAAGAGGTATGGGTCACCTGCACGATAACGTGGGTTTACCCGGGTACTCGTGTTTCTTCCAACAGTAAGACCTCTCACACGCTTCCATCCGGGCCAATGGGAGTGATTTATATAAGTTGAATAAACTTGTTTCGCAATTGTTGTAAAATATATAAAGTTTATTTATTGAAATTGTACAAATCTGGACAAAGCGAGTCTCCGTCATGGACGCAAAATGTTGATTAGAAAAAATAAATAGAAAATAGTTTGTGTTCCCAGTTTCCCGAATAAACATATTTTTAGCTACCAACTAAAATTTCTATTTTGTAAAAAGACTTTTTTTTAAAGTTCCGTGTTGGTTTTGCTCGTGTTTTGTTTGCTGGCGATCCCCCAAAGTATCGATACCATACGGCATTTTCACAGACCCGTCACCTATCTAGGAAGATGGCGGTCACCAGATAATCAAAAGTAATTGGGACATCAGTTCAGTTTTTTCAAATCATATTTGTCAGAAGTTGTCAAACAATATCAAATGCATATATTTAATTTGATTCTACTTTCCTTAATGTTGTAATTCAGATTAAAAAAATGTAGATACCAAAACCAAGTTTGTGCATTTGTTTGTTACCGTATATACATAATTTGAGAAAAAATTGTACAAAACTGGACACGTTTGGGTGGTCGGGTGGTGCAGTGGAAACGCACTAGCCTTTCACCTAGCCGTCCGGGGATGTGAAAAGGTATTGGGTCACCTGCACGTGGGTTTTTCCCGGATACTCCGGTTTCCTCTCACACTAAGACCCCTCGCGCGCTCCCATCTGAGCCAACAAGAGAGGTTAATTTAAGTTGGAAAAACTTGCTTCGCAATTGTTTTAAAATGAATATAGTCTAATTATCTAAAAAAAAAAGTGTTTCTCTATATTCTCCTTACAGTTCCGAAAACAGGTTAGGTGGGGGAAGAAGGGGCTATATAGGAATCACATTCTCTGTCCGTCTGGAAATGTGGGAAGGGGGTTACATAATTTGTTAACTTATAGCTTTATAATCTAGGTTTTTTGGGAAATATGAAATCTTAATTGCCTCCGATGTTGTGTTCCCAAGGGATAGTCCCGCTAAATATATGACATTTTCGAGTGAAAAAAAAAACATCACATTCCCCGATAACTAGAACAGTAAAACGATCAAAACTAGTATTATGTTCAAATCTGGTATAAATTATCATCAACATTTAATAAACATAACAAGGAAACATAAAAAAAATTCCCATTACATATTAATGGTATAAGCATTATCACGTGACATACAAAATGTGTAGTGTAAACATCACCACGTGACTTACTATAATTGTTATCACGTGACTGTTACAACAGCCAGTAATATACAATAAATAAGCCACGTGACCTGGTGCAAATATTTACATCAAATTTTTCTATGAAAATTAATACAAAGGAATATCACACATTTAAAAGCTGTGAAAGTTAAACAGAGAATAAATGAACTTTGTTAACCTACCGGTAAAAGTTCAACTGCTTCGTTCTGAACGATATCAGACGAACACCATGTCCTTGCCATTTGTAAATCATATACATGAAGTTGTAATGGCGATGTGTTCCATCCGATTAGGAGACAAGGAATATTATAAGAGCAGGTGCAGTTTCACTCCGGAACTGTTAATGTTTGCATTGCATTTATTTGTTTATCTAGGGGCACATTACCTGAATCGATCCATACCCGTACTTGTAAACACAGATTTTCAGCATTCCACAGAAGATATATGGAAACACATTCCAGACACATTCCTCAATTGCGATGTTGCTACGCCCTTCTCGTTTATATAATGGCTTAACTTTCGTGCGAAGTAAAAAAAATATGGGTTCTATATCGTTAAACTTAACGACATATATAGCGAGGAAAAAAATCACTGTCTTGTTTACAAGTGAGACGTAAGTGTAATATACATGTTAGTTTACACCAAACGCCTTGTATGATATAACTACATATATTGACATGGCTGACTTGTTGGAAGTCACACACTGTGAATGACTCAACTATATTGTTTAAACGACTTTTGTGTTTTAATATTTAACAATTTAGTCGTCCGCCGAAAGACCATAATAGTGGACGCAAAACTCGTTAGACAAATAAAAAAATAATTAGTGTTTTGTTCCAATGTCATTCTTTGACTCTACATTGTTAATATTAGCTATCGTGTATAAAAACTTTAATAAACTTTAATAACAATTAAAATTTTCCAGTTTCGGCAACTTCGGAAAAAGAATACTTGTTAAAGCACAGAGCGTCAAATCCATATTCACCAATATAAATTAATGAAAACAGCCTACCTGGATTGGTCTGTTGTTTATCTTTACCTGTATAATTTTTACCTGTGATGTCTCATAAGACGCCATTGCCATACGACCAGTTATGGTGTGATTAAACATTAATACTTCAGAGTGCATATAATAAGCCATATTATTATTGTAGACCAAGTGTATTCAAATTTACCCAATTATTAAGAGTTCAAAATGTAACTGAATTGAGAAAACTAGGATGATTACTTTTACCTAGCAACAAAGCAACGCAATGAAGCATTAATAGAGATGTATCTACAGTTTGTACCGAAATGTTTATGCATATATTTTTAAGTTTCTCAGTACATCACTGTTTCTATAATTATCATCATTCCTAAAGAGACCAATATATAGATATGTGATATTTTATTTCTAGATTTCACTGTACATCAATACAACACGCTTTGCTGCTCTAATGCATTGTACGAGGTTGATAATTTTATCATTCAATTCCAATGCTAAAATATCATCATACAAGCATTATATAAAAGTTAGTAATCATTGTGTAGGACACTATAATCATATCGTATTACATTACAATTATAAGGTTATGATGTGTGATAATAACTTGTGATGTATTATATTTTTGACCGTAATATTTAACAGCATTTTGTGTGTTGTTGTATTTATCTTAAATAGAACATTATGGCAATTACTGTTATATAAATTATTGTCTATTACTATAATATAAATTATTGTCCAGTACTATAATATAAATTATTGTCCATTACTATAATATAAATCATTGTCCATTACTATAATATAAATTATTGTCCATTACTATAATATTAATCATCATCAAAGTAAAGATGGTAAAACTCACTGACTAATGCCTTTGACATCTTAAATGACTATAAAAACATGTTTATATTCAAAATACGTTGTGATTCCATGAAAATCTCTTACATGACAATAATTAATAACTAAATTCCTTTCATAATGTAGGTTCTGTACAACGTATGGGTCTCCGTACATGACTTTACCGTGAATTTGCTACTGTATCCTGACAACGGCGGTATGTGTTGAACACAGATAACCATACGTCTGATGTGATTTACATACATGTACTTCACCCACCTGTTTTACTATGGTTTATGTTCCAATAATTAGGAAAATCATGAATCCACGCATGCATGTAATTGCAGTGTAATAAAGTAGCTTACCAACTCTATGGGAGTGATATCGAACCTACATTTTATAAATGTATTTCATTTAGATTGAGAGAGATCTTCTAAACATATTTATAATTTGTTGCTATGTCCCTGTGATTCCCAGCTATCGCATGTCATGTTTGTTCAACGAAACAGCAGAACAGAGTTCGAATCAAACTAAAGATACGGTGATAAATTTACGGATGGTAATACAATCATTTTCCTGTCAGGTGATATAGTCCATTGTTTTGTCAGGTGATATAGTCTATTGTTTTGTCAGGTGATAGAGTCCATTGTTTTGTCAGGTGATATAGTCCATTGTTTTGTCAGGTGATATAGTCTATTGTTTTGTCAGGTGATAGAGTCTACTGTTTTGTCAGGTGATATGGTCTATTGTTTTGTCAGGTGATAGAGTCCATTGTTTTGTCAGGTGATATAGTCTATTGTTTTGTCAGGTGATAGAGTCCATTGTTTTGTCAGGTGATATAGTCCATTGTTTTGTCAGGTGATAGAGTCCATTGTTTTGTCAGGTGATATGGTCTATTGTTTTGTCAGGTGATAGAGTCTGCTGTTTTGTCAGGTGATAGAGTCCATTGTTTTGTCAGGTGATATGGTCTATTGTTTTGTGAGGTGATATAGTCCATTGTTTTGTCAGGTGATATAGTCTATTGTTTTGTCAGGTGATAGAGTCTGCTGTTTTGTCAGGTGATATAGTCTACTGTTTTGTCAGGTGATAGAGTCTACTGTTTTGTCAGGTGATATAGTCTATTGTTTTGTCAGGTGATATAGTCTATTGTTTTGTCAGGTGATAGAGTCCATTGTTTTGTCAGGTGATATGGTCTATTGTTTTGTCAGGTGATAGAGTCTGCT